GCTCACCGCTCACATTTCACCAATGAAAGAAAGGGAGGAGTAAAGCAGCGATAATGAAAACGCTTGCCAAATCGTTTCCTTTGTCATTTGCTTTCAAGCAACGGACGGATAAGCGTCGGACACGACGTATGAGTGGAACAGCACGCAGTGCTCCAATACGAAGATGACACGTCGACGAAAGCACCCACATCGATCGGAGGAAAGGCTTCCCGCAATAGGCAGCATGACTATGCCACCGTCATCCGATCGGCATCGACTTGCGCTGGTGTGGAAATCTGGGTGGAAACCATATGAAAAACAACTGGTCCTTTTCAGGGCCACCAAATCAAACACGGAAAGAGTTATGAACTAAATTATGAACATATTTGTTCCGTTCACTAGCGGTCCTACGTCAAGCCTCCGTTCGGCCCCAAGGCCCAGACCCTTCTACTTTTTTACTAGCTAAATGACTGAAAAAAATATCATTTTTTATTGAACACCCGTTAGCAAAGCTAGTGCTGAGATTATTAGATGTGCATGAGCATGCTTTTGCACAGAAAACAATTCTTCAGCTCTTTAAAACTGTTTTGTGTGTAAAAATTCCTAAACTTTCATACAAAACTAAATTCGCAGTATTACCACTTTGGCCATTTTTTGAGTGTCCATCATGAAAATGTCATGAAAGTTATTACTTCTTATATTGAACTGGATAAAGTTTTTATAGATTTATTGAATTTTCGATAAGCCACCAAAAAAATGTGAGTGTTTGGCATTTTGTTTCTTACGTCATTTCGATTAGAAGTGATGTATTCATGCTGTGATTATTAGAAAAATATCGAAAATACCAGAGAGTCAAAATAGCAGAAATTTTAATGATTGCCCATAGTGTACAAATATGCAAAGTTTCATGGGAATAAGAGAATGTTGAGTCTAATCAGTTGATCAGTTGGCGTGGAAATGCTCTTTAGCGATTAATCTTGTTGAGCTTAACGACCAATTTCAATCCTGTTGAGCATAACGATCAAATATGACCAAAACCACAAGCGAAGTTATTTTTATTACTCCGAGCTCGCGAGGACTTTTAGTGAAATAGTCACAAATAATCATCCACTAAAAACTTAAAATATGTATACACACTATACACGCACTCTACCAGGATGTTTTCCATACCACAAAGGGTCTTAATTTTTCAAACCAAGAAAATCGAGCCATAAATGTAAAAGTGCCACATTCCCCCATAAATTTTGTTGATTTGCCCATACAAATTCTAGCCCTGAGAGGGACCACTTCCCGTAAACCAAAAAACTTTAAATTTTGGGATAGTTTTTCTACCCCCTCAAACAATTATTCTAGTCCACTATCCCGAATTTGTAATAGTAGTACGCATCATACCCCGTAACGTGGGTAGATCAACTTTTCGTTATTCGTTAGAGATGTAAGATCTACCACCGATTCCTAGTCCTGACTACTTCAAACTAGTGGAACAGTATCTTTCAGTAATCAAAGGAACACATCTTAGTCCTTGTTACTTTTTATGCCTTGTTAATAATGATAAGTCCTCGGGTTGCCTGGACCAAGGATGTTCTTAAAACAAGGCAAAAAAATGAGTTAGTTAGTCTTCACCTATGCGATTCCTAATACTCTATTCGTTGTTCCCTAGTTTGAAGTGGTTAAGACTAAGGTTCTGATGCATGGTCATTACCGGTGTCATAGCATATTTTTGTTGCTAAGGAATCCAATTTTGACTGACAAAGGGGCGCGCCTTTGGTGGGTGTTCCAACACTCCGAAGGGTAAATAGCGGGACCTTTCAATTAGAATCGATTCCTTGCGATGAAGGCAAGAATGACAACCGTATCAAAACCGAATACTTCATCATTTCTCAATAGTGATGAAGTAATACGACATGCACTAAACTAAGGGCAATTATTTACTGCTTATTATTGAGTGTGAAAGCTCTGCTCTATTCTATTCATTGCTCTATCCAGACGGTGTCCCACATGCGTACCTCGACTGATTTTCCACCGGCATAATGGAAAATGAATTGTTCACGGTTGTGCAATTTCTCTGATTTGAACTTATAAATATAGATTTTTCCTCCGCTTACGGTACGTCGTGATCGTCGGAGTGGGATCCGCATCCAGCGCTTTCACAAAGGTCAAAATTTCATCCACTGACGGTTTTTTACAGCTAGCTGCGAACTGAATCTAACAGTAATTTTTTTTTTTCACCAACATTTCCAGTTGTTTGCTACCTACGAGGCAACGACAGAAACAAACGAACTTCACACAATGAGCGCTTTCACAAAGGTCAAAATTTCATCCACTGACGGTTTTTTACAGCTAGCTGCGAACTGAATCTAACAGTAATTTTTTTTTTCACCAACATTTCCAGTTGTTTGCTACCTACGAGGCAACGACAGAAACAAACGAACTTCACACAATGAGCAAGCACCGCAACAATAGTTGCTATCGAATAACAGGCTATCGCGTGTCCCACACCGAAAAAACACATAGCTAAGAGAGCACTTAGGTGGCAGTTGTTTCTAAGCATCGCTTGCTTTTTTTCCACTGTTCTTTTTGCTTCATCGCGTCCATTTCTACCACCTTTTTCTCAAGTACCAAACAATTCTCTCTGGTTCCTTGTTGTTACCATACATTTCCAGCCAGCACACTCTTGTAATTACTGCTACAGCTATGTTCCTCGCCATATTGCTGTTGTTGTTCTACGTCCTAAGTTTGTCCTTCCTGCATTTTTTTTTTTTATTTTCTCGCTGCTTTTGGGTCATTCATGTGGGGCAGAAAATCATTCGATGCTTTTCCAACTTGCATATGAAACACACATTTTTGTTACCTTCGTAAAATATGTTTCCCATAGCGTTTCCCTTCCAATTGTGGAAATGAAGCAATGAGAAAATCACCTTTTTCATGATCATATATACACCATCTACTCCAGTGTGCATGTCGAGCTCTCTAGGATATTTCTCTTATCCGTATTCCACTAGCAGCAGCGCTACAGCAATATCTGAGACCTCTGCATAATCGAAAATTTATTCATTACTGTCGCAGACTCCTCCGACTTGAACTTAATGAAAAGTGCTTTCTCCTCCGAAACCCGGTAAGCTACTTCCATATCAGCAACATTCGCATCCAGCATCTTGACGAAATTGGAAATTTTGCCTAAGGTCGGTCTCGCATTTCTATTTTCGAAGTCAAAACAAATGGTGAATTCAATTCCAGACATCATCAAATAACAATAATAATAAACACCAACTGAGCTGCACGCAACGACTAAAGCTCTCGGGACAGTAGCCTCTACCGCAAGTCTGTCCAACGTTTTTAAAACGCGGACCAAATGTTAGAATCCATATCTGCTGGCGGGCTAAAAATTTTAATTTTAATCTGGAGCCGGTTCTATACGCGTTTTTAACGTTTAAACAATCTCATTATTTAATGTGGGTCAAATTTTATTCTAAAAAAGTACAAGTTTGGTGTAGATCCTGAAATTTAATATATTGTATGTGCATGTTGATCATAGCATTCTAAAGTTACATGAGCTATCAGAACCCAAACATTTGAAAATATTTAAGTATGTGAATTTATCCGACCAATCGAGATTTTTACTCGGTTTGCTCATTTTTACAAAATCCGTTTGTCAAGCTTTTGTCAAGTATTACAAATTGCTAAACTAAATAAAGACAACAAAAGGGACGATCTTCAGCAGTATTTCCAAATTAGTCTTTTTATATATTCTTGTTAATTTTTTAAGATAAGCAGCTTACTGATTTTATTAGAAACTTGAAATTGTGGGCTGCTCTTCAACACTATTGATTTCAGAAACTGTTACCAAAATCCGCAAACATAATTCCATGTTTTCGTCAAAAATGAATAACCCACGGCCCGGATGCGAAGACTTTTTCTAAGCTCGTTGCGGGCCGCACAAAAAAAGGCCACGGCCGTACGTTGGACAGGCCTGCTCTACCGTCAATATAACCGCGTGATCCACATCGAGATAACAAACTGCTGCTGCTGCCTGTAGTATCGTCAACATTTTAAAAGAAACAGGCACTGCACACTTAGATTATTTTACCGAAATCTATGAAATTTTACCGAAATCTCAACATCTGAACGTTCGGTAAACAGTTCGGTGATTTTTTACAGATTTCCTGTAATTTTTCACAGATATTCGGTGAAAAGTTACAGGAAATCTGTGAAAAATCACCGAACAGTTTACCGAACGTTAAGCTGTTGAGAATTTGGTAATATTTCACAGATTTCGGTGAAATAATCTTAATGTGTATTTACTTGAAATTATATAAATAACACAATTTTCGTTTAAGTTAGCAAACATTTAGTATATTCCGTGGATTAACATATATTAATATATTAACATTATACTCAAGTTCAAATGTCGGATGACCACAGATATTGACGTCAAAGTACTCACACTTCAACATCGATTGCTTGTATTCTTCGCGAAGAGGCTTTCAATATGCTGGCATAAATATACCCCTCAGACGAAGCACCCTAAAGTTTCCCTAGAGCACTTGACTGCCACTCCTGCAAGATGAGATAATTAAATTTCTTCCACCTTTTCAACACTGTGAAATGTGAGTCAAGCAGGGGCTGTACAAAGCGACACTAGATGATGCAGCAGACTCTTCATTGTGGTCTCAAGCAGCTTTAAATAGAGACAATCTGAATCTCCTGTTTGCATACAGATCTGCTGCTTACCTATTTCAAGCATTTTTATACTATTCGTGCTTTAGATTAACAGATAGATAGCTAACTTAGTAATTAGTTTTGCTGTGCAACTTATGGCATCTATTCTGGTGAAACTCTCACGCATCCTCAGTTTCACATCTATCCTTGAGCATTTGATTTCGTTCGTCCATCGTCCAATGGAAAGCAGCATATCAATCACTAGGATCACATTCCAATTAACAACTCCTCTATAGATCGCATCTGCATACAACGCCATCAACCAAATCATCTCAATTACGACATCGTATCCTTCTTTGCAGCACACGGCACTCGGAACGGGTGGAGTGATGTACGGAAACGGTAACATCGTGTCCGGTCCGTTAGAGTCTCTCACCGACCTGCTGATGCCCACAAACCCAGAAGAGCTAGATCAGGTAAGATACCAACCACACCTACTCATACATACTCGCTCAGCCTACCTCTCAGCCATGAACATCAAACGGAAATTAAATTATTTCGCATTCGTCTTGTTCTACGCTTCCGCTTGTGCTGACCGGGAATAGGAATATGTTTTCTCCTTCCTGCTGTCGTGCAGATTTTTCATCCGAACACATGAGCTGTTAGGTAAGCTGCTGGAAACGCTACCGGAACCGGAGCCAGTGGACTGTCTCGTACCGCTGCTGGCCATCTGGACCAAGATGTTCCCGTACGACTTCCGTGATGAGCGTATGATGAATCACGTTAAACATATCGTAGCTAGGTTGGTATCGGTCCGCGCAATCAGGTGTGGAAAGTGTACAACAGTGACTGGCAGAAAATTGTCGTTGGGTTTAGTATAGCAACTAAGTTGACAAATTCAGGTGTTGTTTTTAACTAGCTACAATAATCCCTCCTTTTGCGATGGGTAGTACCGTCCACCCACCGCTGTTTCTCGGCTGTCCTTCAACCAATTACGATGAGTTTTTGTATGAGATTAGTGTCAACCATAAACTAGTTATCTACAGAAAATTGAGCTGGTTGAAGAATAATCGAGAAATAGCGGTGGGTGTACGTTACCAACCACCGTGTAAATAGAGAGATGACTGTAAGTGTACACGCAAACCAAACGGCAGAATTCTTTATGTACACTCAGAAAAATTTTCACTTAGGTGTTACATGAAAACATACATAGATTTTTTCCATCTAGTTTTTCACGTAAATTTTACGTTTTTCATATGTGGATTGACTTGAAAGTTCTAATTTCAATCCACATGCAACTCTACCTAGGTAGTATAGGCTTTGGAAGTACATTTCACTTTATTTTCATGTAGCATCTAAGTGAAAATTACTCAAAGTGAAAAAATCTTTGTCCAATCTACTAGAAAACAACATAGATTTTATGGTACTTTCTAAGTAAATTTTATTATGTTTTCACTTTAATTTTAGTAAATTTCTTCGTAGCATCATCCATTGTTAGGAATTTTAAAATAATTTTTCAAGATAATAAAAATTGTATTGTTCAGAGAGCTGATAATGTATTCCTAATTAAAAAATTACCATCAACGAACGATAACCCAAATAATAGAACTATTCCACAAATTGTTTGGATGATACCCAAACACGTCGTTAAGCAAAATAACCATAACAAATTTATTAGGGATGTCTTATGTGTTCCAGCATCTTCCAGCAAGCTGCACTTCCTCTGCCAATCTTTCGGGAGAGATCATTCCTCGTCCGTCAATTCCTTGTTCTAAAATCATGACAAAAATAAACCATCATACTTATCAGAAAATTCAACAAATCCAATGGTATTTGTGAATGCAGCAACAACTCGTCAGCAATGCACCGTTTGGACACCATGTTAGGTTTTGTTTGTGCCATCACCTTTCAGAAATTTTCACACTATAAATTCATGTAGAATCTAAGTGAAATTATCATACATGAAATTCATTTGAAACTTATATATATTCATCTAAGTTTCAAAGCGTATTACATTGCTTTTAATACGATTTGTAATAAATTGTATTAACGTCATGTACTTTACAGACAATTTTTAATTTCTGAAGGTTACGTGTTTTTTCCAGTGAAATTTATGTGACAAATTTTTTGAGTGATGTTTCTTATAAGGTACACAGGGGCAAATGGCACCGCGGGGTAAGTGGACACTGCCATTTTCAAATCTTAAAACTAAAGTGTGTTTGAGTTAAACCGGGAAGCTCCATAGAATCAAAGAAGTCATACTACTACTGAAATCATTGGCTATATGGAGTATTTATTGCACCCACACTTCAGCATTCAGATTTTTAAGTGACCGTTCCCAGTTGCCCTGGTGTACCTTATGATAAATGAAATGGTAGCACAGAAAAGTTTGTCTACTGAGCATGCAATTTTATCCAGGATGCATGTATTCGCACAAAATGTTCACAAGATGATTTTTTAATGTGGAATTCAAGTAAATATAAGAATAATTACAAGGCTGGTAGTGGGTATTTTATGCAATATAATTGTCTTCAGTGACTAAAATAACGAAAACAGTTACCAAATAGTGACTTTGAATAAAATAGAAAATGATCCATAGTGGCATTTATAGATCGGTAAGATAAGAAATATATGGTCCAATCTTTCGTTGATTGCGACCCGTTTTGAGAAATGATTTAAGCTCACAATTCACCATGTGCATTTTTCAAACATCTCTTAAATAAAACAAATGGATGAAGGATCATATAAATTTATTTCAAAAAAATCAGTAATTATTTAATAATCAAGGGCATGTTTCATTTCTAACCTCAATTTTCTCACACAGCTTTTGTTTATCTGCCTCGATTTATTTTAAACAAACCATTTACTAAGTGAATAAAGATTCAGATCGCGAATTGGTTCATTCTTCTTCTTCGCATTTCACGCTTATTGTTTATCGCATATTAGCTTATTGCATGCTCTCAACTTAGTGTTCCAGATCACTTCCTCAGTTATTATTTGAGAGCTTTCGATGCCTGTACCAGTTTTGCATTAGTATTATTGTGTGGCAAGAAATTTTCTAACCCAAAAAATACCTAGACCAACAACCCAGCCACCTCCAGTATGGTATTGCTTTGTAGCGCCGCCTTTATCAACTGAGCTAAGGGAGGCCCAATCGCAGACGAGGCTCGGTAGCTCAGTGGTTACCGTTTCTGCTTAATGAGCAGAAGTTCGGGAGTTCAATCCCAGGCCCGTCCCCTTCCTTGCAATTTTTCACTTTGCCTTATTCTATACCCACTAGATTTTAATGAAAACAAATTCTTCTTTAACAGTGTGGGTCCTGATCTAAAAAAAAAAAAAAATAGAAATTGGATGAGTGCGCGCGCGTGTGTGTGTGTGTGTGTGTGTGTGTTTGTGTAATTATAATCGCTCTACCAAAAAACGATCCCTGCGTGTGCGTGCAACCTTTCCCCACATCCAACATCCCAGTGATTTCTCGTGGAAGCGCAGAGGATTTCTCGGTTTCCTTCACAGCGAGTACCACGTCAACACATTCCTTCCCATTCCCTAGTTGACCTGCATTCGGACACGGCCGGCGCTGGTATTGCTAAATATTAGATCTCCAGTTCTTACACATTGAGGATGAATGTTAGTCCCAAACATCATCTGTTGGTTCTCTGTGTAATTGCAGCTGATCTGGTAATAACAGAGCAGCAACCGTGGGCGGTCAATCTGATTTGATTTGAGCTAATGGAGGCCCAATCGCGATTTGGTTATTAGAATTAATTTTGCAGGTACTCTTCGAATCTCTTCGAGGCGGCTTATCCTTCTTAGTGCATTAGGGTCTTTTTTGACCCGGCGTCACTTTAAAAAAAGCTGTAGCTTTGTGACGCAATATGATAAAGAAATTTACTCACTTTTCCTAACTTTCGAAAAAGAACCTTTTGCTAGTAAAAGAAGCTTTCAGCTACCTCTAAGAGGGCCCCTACAAAAAAGTGACACATTGTGCATTAGGTTCAAAAAAGACCCAAACTGCAACTTGCTAACAAAACTCCATGTTTGAACCGATTCTTAATTTATTGACCTCAAAAGAAAAATAAAGAATGGCAGGATTTTTTTTTCCAATTTGGCCATTTAGGAAACATGCCCAAACAACCAGAATGCACGTAACTTCAAAGTTGTTTTCGTGATATACAAACATATATACAAACAAACAAATCGTATAGAATGCAAAGAAATGGCTTATACGTACAAAAGTGGAGGCCATATACGTGCAAATTTTTATTTAATTTTAAACGGGTTGATTTAACATCATATACGATTTAATCTGTTATAACAAATTCACTTTGAAAAGTCATACGATGTAATCCGATTTGATTTGTGATACAGTACGACGAAAAAATGGATCATCGCATATTGGTCGGAAATTTGCATTCTAAACGATTTAACTTAAAAATAATGCGATGCATGCCGTTCTTATATGCGTTTTGGACTTCAACTGTAGCAATTTACGATAATGTCTGCACATTGTTATACGACTTCTGGTTGTCTGGGTGGTACCGGTTCCGATAGTGCACTAAAGGACACTTCCTAAACCTCATGTGCAGGTACCGTCCGACGGCTCAATATTTATGATTTTTCATCCAGAAGTAAATATACATCATACCATGGACCGAAACGTGGATCTTAGCGTATCTATGGCAGGGTCCCAAAAAGGACACAGAAATAAATAGATATCATGCCACAAATAAACAGGTGGATTTGACCACATCCGGATACCCCGAACCAGTTTTGGAAATTGTTTAAACATATTTATTAAAATATATGCGTTGAATTCAAACCCATTTATTGTTGACTTTTTGATGATTGCCACAACATTTTAGGCAAACAACTTAATAGTATGGGCTCTATTATACAAACAAAATTATGAATTTTTTTATTTGTCACACGATAGGTTTCTAACGCAAAAATAATTTGGTCCAACGCCCGTTCCAGATCATCATAAATCAGAAACCTTTCTGTTGTCTTCGGATGACAAGCGTAAACTCGAAGATTAAGTCTGTTTACTTCAGGATGAAAAATAATAAATGTTGAGCCTTCCAATGGTACCAGTACATGAGGTTGTGAAAGTGTCCTTTTTGGGGCCCTGCCGGTACCAGTTCTGGGTATTTATATGTGGCCAGATCCACCAATTGGTTTATGGCATGATGTCTTCTTACTTCTGGATGAAAAATCATAAATTTTAAGCCATCGGACGGTACCAGTACATGAGGACTAGAAAGTTTCCTTTTTGGGCCCTTCCGGAACCAGTTCTGGGTATCCAGATGTAACCAAATCCACCTGTTGGTCCATCATATGTACATTTACTTCTGGATGAAAAATCATTAATTTTGAGCAGTCGGACGGTACCAGTACATGAGGATTTGGAAGTTTCCTTATTGGGACTTCCCAGACCCGATTATGGGTATCCGGTATGGGTATGGGTATCTGGTTGAAGACGATTCCAATTAACCATATTTTCGAGCAGTTTTAAGATGACCTTCTACCAGTGATTCTAAGAAAATGAAGCAATAAATTCCAGATTTTCTAGCTTAGCATAAATAAGACCCCAAGAAGAAACAAAATTCAAAATATTGTTCATGACACAGTTCGTCATTTTAAACTGCTCAAATGATGTGATCCATTGTATTTTCAGCCACCGTCACCAAAGGTGCGAGATTGATCAAACTCTTTTCCATTTTAAAACAAATTGTGGTTCAAAAGGTTAATCTTCTGTTAAATTAGACAGATGAGAAATTTTAAAACAACCCTGTTTTCAAAGCACATGTATTTCTGACAGAAGAGAACTTAAATTTTGACAACTACTGTCGTGGTCAATCTTTTACATTTGAACTAAAAATTTGCCAGAAATAATTCACATAGGGGAAATGCAGGTAATGTCGGCCTAAGTGTCCCTAATTTGGGCTCATACATAAATTCAGCAATCGACTAAATTTTCAATAGCAACCTAAAATATCCATTAGTAACGTTCCAATAACGCGTTCATCTAGATAAAATTGATAAATAGCAGATTATTAGATCTATAGGCCAACATTAGAGACATTTCCCCTAACTCATTTTTTTCTATTTCTTTCTTTTTTTTTGAGATTTTCAGCCGTAGGCTAGTTCATTTCCGTAGCTCAAAAATGTCACTTCCGAAAGAAATAAGGTCTGACATAATGCTGTAAGAAGAAGTTAAAAAATAAAGTAACGTTTGGTAAAAAATAATAAAAAGTGTTGAAAACTCTAATAATAAAATTGACCTTCTTCAGTATTTTTTAATAATTGTCATAAAATGCTAACTTTTGTGAAATTAACAGTCACTTAAAAATTTACAAAAATCATAAAACAACGTTTGGTAAAATTTCTGAATTTTTCGTAAATAATTTTTGTTTTGTAAAATTTAGCACCGAAAACAAGTTTGATGGTCTAAAACAAATGTAAAATTTTACAAAAAAAATTGTTAAAAGTTCAATCATTTGTCCAGAAGCTGTTATTGAATGAGTAAATTTTTTTATTATTATTTTTCTTCATTGAAAATTTCACAGACGATACGATTTTTTTAAAAACTTTTCACTATTCAAAAAGTATTGAAGAGGGTAATTTTGTGTTACTTTTGTTTTAAACACTTTTATGTATTTTTTTTTTACCAAAAATTAACATTATGTATTTTTTACCAAAAATTACCAGAAATTTTTTAACAGAAATATTTTGCCTTAAAAGGAATTCTTTTCCAAAACAAATAATTATGCAAATCAAAGAACGTCGCATCAGATCGATTCCTCATTTGGCGTGAAACTTCTAGAATTTTTTATTTGTTGAGATATTCAAACACAAAAATCCTGAACCAGTGTGGTTATTCTCGGCAGAAATAATAGGTCGTATTTATATTTAAAGTCGAAATTATTTACGGTACTATATGGCTAATGTGCCTAATGCCGGCCCAAGTGTCCCTATTGTTGAGTCCAAACATAAATTTCCAAGGAATGCATATTTTCCCAAATTTTCACTAGCAACCAAAATATCAATTTGTATTTTTCAGATCACGCGCATTGTTCTAAGAAAAATTGAAGATCAGGAGATTTTTATTGATGGGTCCAATTTTTAGATCCATAAGCCGATATTAGAGCCATTTCCCCTGTATAAAACTAGACGATACACTCACCAATATAACATCAATAATTGTCAATCTCCAATGCATGGGTATAGGAATTTATCAAAAAAGGGTGATGTACCGTTTCATCATAAAATTCACTTTTGAAGAAAGCTTCAGAACTTTTCCACACAAGCTACCGAAAATATTTTCAGTTAAGTTTCATCATATTGTTTACCTCACACTCATAATTTGAGTTTTACCAACAATAAAACGTTCATACCGGAAGCGAAAAACATACATTCTTGCCTAATTCTTCCGTTACAATAAAACTGCCAGTCACTGTCTGTCGAAACTTTCCGCAAACTAGTTCTTCATCGATCAACTGACCGATGGAATTATGCCATTTTCGACACTGTTTCCCTCTCTACAGATGCGCAGATACCACATTAGCCGATGTGGTATCTGAACTACTCTGTGCCTTGTTAGCTCGGCTAACTGAACTCGAAAAACACGAAGAGGAACTCAAAAGCTATCAATCAACTGTTGACAATAAGGTACGTACGTACGTCAATCAGGACACTTTCTGTGAACAAGTCTTTCGTATCGTCTTTCTACACACCTTTTTTAATACACACCGCGCTGCCTAATGAACTGATATCCGGCTTGTTATCCATTTTTCCACAGACTGAATCAATAAAATGGCCAAACGCTTCGCAATTAGCACAAGTTTTATGCAGAATCGAGCGCAATCTAGCGAAACACGTAGGGCCGGAGGAGTTCGTCCAGTGCAATGCCAATCTACTGAAGGATCCCAATCGGGAGGATTTTACGCCCAAGCTAACTGGTTCATGTGGTCCAACTGGTGGAGCTTCGCTGGACGGCAAGAAAACGTGCAATCTGGAGAGTTATCTCGAATGGTCTGCCCGGTTGAGGTTGCTCGTGGCAAGCGAAATTTTGAAGGTTGGTAATAAGCCGTGAACAGATTAGATTTTTCTGCACAAAAAAAAAATCTAATCAGCAGCATACAATGTAATGCTGTATGCTCATGTATAAAATAGTAATGCTATTACACAAGCTGTCATTCTACACACATCTGTCCCATGTTCCAAAAGCTGCATCCGAAAGAAACGCGATGAATGTTCCGAATCATTTTTGCTTGTTGGAGATAATATTCGTTACAATAAAATATGGCATTAATCACAATTCAACAACAGCAAATAGTATTATATGTTTTAAAGGAAACTGTTAGAATTATCTTTATAATAATGCTCATTCTAATCATTAAAATATTAAGTGGGATTGATATGCCGAAGAAACTTGCCATGGAGCAGAAATGTCTACGCATGTCAGGCTGTGTTTCAATTGGGTTGTTTAAAAACATTCCGGATTTTATAAATTTTCTGAAAGACCTTCATTTTCTGAGCACAACGATATTTTTATCGATCCATAGACATTTATCTCAATGTTTAAATCAAGATTTGAATTTTTAATTTTTGACAGAAAAAAATTATAAGATGGCAGCCCGCTCACATACAAAGTCCCACCGATGTAATCACACACACAAATTGAAAAAAATTGGATTTCGGTTCCATTTCTAATACAGATTACGAATATGTATTTACCTCAATACCCCTAAACATTGGGTTGGAGGAAAATACACATTTGTAATCTGCAGTAAAAATGGAACCATAATCCAAATTTTAATTAATTTTGGAGCGCTGGATCTATTTTAAATAAGTTCGAATACATTAGCAAAAATCACCATCAAAGTGACCCATCGATGGAACTTTGTATGAGAGCTAACTGTCAATTTATTAGTTTAGTGTCAAACAGTGAAGTTATTATTTTGCCTTAAAAAATATCTTTGTGCTCAGAAAACGAAGCTCTTTCAGATTATGTATAATATCCGATGTATTTTTTATAATTAAAGAACCCAATTGCCGGATTAAATTTTACTCGCAGTTAAAAGTGACAAAAGAAAAGTTATCGATTAACCCTGCTATCCGAACGTGGTTATTTCTGACAAGATGTTAGATTTTGACAAATGTGGCTGAGTTCTGCCCGAAAACCGGTTGATCAATAACACAGGGATTTTCTAACATCGAAAATAACTTTTGAAATGTTATGTGGCGTTTGGTGAACGTTGACATGATGTTTTAACATACCCGCAGACGCCACACCGCCACCACATCAGTGGGCACCTCGACTAAGAACTCATTTTCCCGTATTGCTTTGATGACCATGTTACTTTTTACGTCTTACGTGCAGCGTTGGCAGTATTTCAGTTTAATCTGGATTATCCAGATTTTCAGTCGTATTGCCAGATACACAGACAGATCACGTTTATTCCCAGATTTTGTTTAGTAAATATGTTCCAGTTTTTCCTTAATTTCTTAAAGGCTGGCTAAAAGTAAATTAGTATGCACAAAAAGACCTGTAATTCGCAATTCAATAAGTCCATTAATAGCTGCTTTACAGTACTTTTATTAAAACTCCAAAGCATTAGATTGTTACATTTCTCCAGTTCGAACGAAATCTCGAACCGTCCTCTTGATGGAGCCCATCAGCGCCCGCACAGTGGAAACGAATACGGAATCAGCGCATTTTTTCTCCATTTTGCCCGCATTTGCTGGATGCCCCGCCGCTTCGTCGAAGTTGCTGCTTTGAAATTGCCCAGTATTTTTCGATTGGTTGAAATTCCAGGCGATTCGGAGGATTCATTAGCTTGGGGACAACATCGATCTTGTTGGCAGCATATCACTCCAGAACTACCTTGGAGTAGTGGCAGTTGGCCAAATCGGGCCAAAAGATGACTTTGCCCCTATGCTTGCGGATGAACGGCAATACACGCTTTTTCAGGCATTCTTCGATGTAAACTTGGGATGTCGTCGTCGAGGATGTGACGAATGGTTCCGTTTTCAGGCCACAACTGCAAATCGCTTGCCAAATCATGGCCTTCTTTGCGAATTTGTCGGCAAACACGAACTTGCACCCGCCACATCCCCACGTCCAGTCGCGATGTAAAACTTTTGACCGGGAAGTTGTTTCGTCATCGATCAAAGTGCAGCCCTTGTGTTTCGTTAAAACACGGCCGTACAAGAGCCTTGCACGCTTTTTGGCCACGGAATTCTGCTTCATGTGCCAGTTCGGATGTTCACTGGCTTTGTACGACTTGTATCCTTCCCTAGCAAGGATGTTCCGCACCGTTTGAAAGTTGGCGTTGTACCTTCTGGCCACATCTCGGATCGAAAGACCGGGGTTGGCTTTAACGCTCCTCAATACCTTGCTGCGCAGCTGACGACCCCTGGTTCAGGTTTTTTCGTAGGTCCGCTGATTCCTTTCCACACACAGGGTTTCCTTGTAGGTTTTGAGCACTCAACAAACTGTTTTTTTTTTTTTTTTTGCTTTCAGCCTTCAGCTGGTTCATCTCTTTGACTGTTGTTTTCGGCATCTTCAGCACTTTAGCCAGCTTGGAACCACTCCGGATTTTCCACGTGTTTGTGCACGGTATTTTTTCTTCTTTCAAGTTCCTTTTGACGTTATTTCTGAACGCGATCGACTATGTTGATCAAACTTGCACCAATTGTTCTCTATAGAAGTGTAAACAAACCACTGTCAAAGATTTTAGATTCCCAACACTAGAGGCGTGCTAGCGGTGCGCGAAAGGCGTACCAATTTACTTTTAGTACTTTTAGCCTTCAAAAATGTTGCTTTAAAAATATAACTACAATTAATTGACCCTGTCATCCAAAAATAAATAGCCAAAAATGCTACATAAATTATTAAAGTTCATCATCACTTTGGAAGCCTTTGCAACATCGTACATAGCTTTGTTACAACATGATAGCGGCAAAACTGAAATATCACGTTCATTGGTGTATGCATTCTAGGAGCTGATATTTGAACTGTCTAGTGAAGATAAAAAAAATAAATAAAATAAAATTTAATGGCATTCTGACGAATGTTTCTATGGAGATGGATTTTAAGGAATTCTGCGAGAAGAACATCTAACAACTTCTTTGGCCATTTTGATAGAGTACTTATGAAATGCTGAAGATAATTCTATCATAATTCGGGCCTTACCTCCAAAGCAGTTCTAAATCGAATTATCAAATAAGTCTGAAAAGATTGTTAAGATAATTCAAAGGGAATTTTGTAGAGAATGGTGGCAATGAATGGGGTATTCAGCCGATTGCTCCAGAACGTGCACGTAATCGTTTATGCCGACGACATACTCATCGTCGTAACGGGACGAACGACTAAGCGGACCAGGAACATAGCTCAAGCAGCAGTATCCGCCGTCAGCAGGTGGGTGCTTTCGGTTGGTTTCCAGCTCTCCGCGCCGAAGAGTGTACGGTGCCATATCTGTCACTCGGGCCATCTGATTCAAGGACCACCGATGACCATCCAAGGATGGTGAAAGAAAACTGTCGTAGCCGCATCAGCATAGTCAGGACAATCTCCCGCCCGCATCGCTCCAGCAACCGTGAGATCCGCCTTCGTGTCGCTCGGGCTGTTATCGACAGTAGACTTTTCTACGGCCTCAAAATAACCTGCTTAGCCACCAAGAAGCTCAACTACATCCTCGCTCCGGTATACAATACCTACGTTCGCATCGTATCCGGTCTTCTCCCTTCCACGCCTGCAGACGCCGCATGTGAGGAAATTGGATTTCTCCCTTTCCGCTATCAATCTGCAGCAGCCATTGCTACGACATCCCTGAACGAAAGGGTCTTTCTCCTCAACGAGGGGAACAGAGCCCTCAATACTGCAGCCACAGCGATCCTTGTGTTAACTGACTCACACAGCGTCATCCAAGCGCTGGAAGCCGAAGCCCCGAGCCACCCTGGATACAAGCCGTTACACGGTACGCCCCAACTTCAGCCGTCTTTACGTGGATCCCCAGAAACTGCGGTGTTCCCGGAAACGAGGCTGCGGACAGAGTGGCGAAATCTGCTGCATCCTGTCCCCACTACACCCGGAACGTACCACTCCTAGACGTCAGGTGTTGGATTGTGAATACTGTTATGGCCTGGCAGCAGGAATGGTTCCACCCGCGGACCACTTTCTAAGCAAGACTCCGGACCAGCCATGCGAGGATTTCCTGTAATTTCGGTGGGACACCTTTCCGCGAGGTTTGTTCAATTTACAGCATGGACTCCCGTCGAAAGTCAGTAATCTGCTTGGTTACGACCCCTCGACGTTGGCTGCACTGCTCGACTTTCTAAGGGACGCCCATTTTTCTAGCCCCCTGTCGGTGGCTGCACTGATCGTGTTTTCCTCACCTTTCTATTCTGCCGTCGGGGTTATTCCGCCGGACCGGGCACTGTCTCCTACGGTGGAGCTCTACCTTGTTCACGCACCCAGTCCTCACCACAGCCCCGATGTAATCCTCACTTTACATTAACTTTTTAAAAAGGTTGTCGGTCTCATTCGTTGGGTAATCAGAAGACGTCACGTGAATTAATGTCAAATTGAAACCTATTTTTTGTTTAGGCAGTATCTAGCCTGACCATCTGCTGTAAAACGTGAGGAACTAGCATGCGGCTAAAAATAACGGCAATAAAGAGAAAAAATGTAGATTTCCTAGAATGTTATTGAATTGCGCACCTCCAGTTACGGTATATGCACTATTATAGCGTTTCTCAATCTATGGGTCGCGGGTTTTCCTTAAATAGGTCGTTGAAATTTAGATCATGTGTAAAACTAATCCAAATTTAAAATCAAGCTGGGATAATCTAAATTTAGCAACAAACCATATTTTGTATGTGAGTTAACCGAATTCTTCGGAAGATGCTATATAGTCATATATTTTTATTAAGTCGTGCTTTCAGCATGTAGCTCTAAAGCAAATTCAAAAGCTAAAAGCGGCATAAAAAATGTGATGATCCCATGAGCCAATAGCAAACAATATGTCGAAAGAATCCCGGAAAGATAAAGCTCCTCTTAGATAGGGCACC